TCCATCCATTTCCTTTTGATTTTTCGCATCGGTCTAATCCAATCTACTCTCTCTCTCTCTCTCTCTTTCTCTCTCTCTCTCTCTCTCTCTCTCTCTCTCTCTCTCTCTCTCTCTCTCTCTCTACGTATTGTCTTCAAACGGCCAACAAAACCCGTTATTACTTCCTTCTTTTTTTTTTGGATTTATCGATGCTCGAATATCAGTTATTCGAGAATACGAAAGATTTCGATGTACTTTTTTCACTTTTATCCGAATATTCGGATTTAGATTTTTCAAAGCTAAACTTTTGAGAGAGAAAATCATGGATTCAAGTATCGAATATTTCAAGGAATTAGATTACGATGCTAATGTTTACAAATAAAAAATAGCATTCTCTCAGAAATATATTCTTCACATTATTGCATTATCTTCTTCTTCTTTACCGTATGTTTTACTTTTCTTTTCTTTCTTTCTTTCTTTCTTTCTTTCTTTCTTTCTTTCTTTCTTTCTTTCTTCCTTGCTTCATTTATTTATTTATCTACTTATATTTTTTTTACACACAAAATCACTATCTTTCTAAAAGACAATTTTTCTCTTTTTATTATCACTCAGATAATCAAGGCGTTGCTCGAATCATCTCAACCGCCGTTAGAATTAACATTGGAAAAACGGATCGAAGAAGAAAAGTATAATGTGTTTTATTATAAACAAGGAAACATTCGCGCATCACGTAAACAAATATTACCGATAGTAAGAGAAACATTATCAAAGAAATGGGATTATTAATGGAAGGAAATGTATTATATATATATAATATGTATACATATGATTAAAATAGGTAAAATATCTCAACTTGGATATTTATCACGCATTCATCTGTAATTGTAGCCGTCATACCACGCACAGAGAAAAAAAGAAGTGACTAATTACTGGCGTAAAAGGGTCCACCTGCGTTTCACCCTTCGCGTCCCTTTCTATTTCTCTTTCCCCCTCGCTTTTTCCCCTCTTTCCGCTTTTTCACCTTTGTTTCTTGCTCTTCCTCTCCCTATTTTCCCTCTTTCCCTCTCATTCTCTTCCTCTCTCTCTCTCTCACTCCAGGTTCAATCGATCGTCCTGACATAAACGTCCATTATTTGATCGGTGGTTTTAACCGAGCGGCGAACGTGGAACGATAAACGTTAACCACACTGTCTACGCCATTTCCGTATTTCTTTTGATCATCTCCGTATCATAGAATTATGTCTTTATCATTCACATCGTATAACGTTTGAAATATTAATTATGATTTGTCAAAATAATAATAATCATCATCATCATCATTATAATAATAATAATAATAATAATAATAATAATAATAATAATAATAATAAAACAGCGAGGAAAAAAATGAAAAAGAGAAACTTTTAACTAGTGATTGCTAGAGAAACCAGTTAAAGAGAATCTCGAGCCCGTTTTTCCTTGACAATGAAAATGGCAAACGAAGAAAAAAAGAAAGACTGTGAGAAGAGTTGAGAAAAGCCTCGAAATAACTTGACCGAGGAAATCCGCACGCGCTTCTCTCATGCAAACGACACATATACACATACACACACATAAAAACACAAACGATCCAGTCGGGATAAATAAGCGAGCGCGCACCATCAACCCTCCGAAACACCCGCAACCCCAAACCACCCCACTATCTCTTCTCTTCCTTTGGCTCTTATCCCCACCTTACGGCATCTTCTTCCAAGTTGCTTCTCCGACTACATCCGGAAACTCTGACAGGTGTCTACTTTCGAAACGATTCTTGCACGACCGGTTAACTTTCTACCTAGACCACCCTATCCTCGAAACCCTCCGCAACCTCTTCGCCCTCCCTCTCTCAGTTCAGGATAAAATTCATTTTGCAAAGACGCTTACGCCATTTTGCCACTCCCAGACAGACTCCTCTCGTCTGTCCTGGAGTACCAAACAGGAGATAGAAGCTAAGAGAGATGGGGAAGTGAGCGAGTAAAGCGAGCGAATGCGTCGGACGAGTTTTCAAGAGAACTTCGTGTATACTTTCTTACGTGGTAAAACTTTTCTAAGATACTTCAACTTTCTAAGATATTAGAAACGATTTCAAATTTACTTTTCATTTAATTTATATTTTTTACTTCCTTTCTCTCTCTCTCTCTTCTTCTCTATATTTCTTGATTTCTTTAAAACCCCTATATCGTATAAAAAAATAATAATAAATATCTCGAAAAAGAAACATTGAAGTTAGGAAAGAAGAAAGAAAGGTCCCGGGAAAGGATTAAAAACAATTTTCTGAACTTGGCGATCATCGGGAGATTCATTGGGAAAAAAAGGGTTAAGAAGATTAAGTTGAAAAAAAAGGAATACGATCTCGAATGTAAGCAAGGTATAAGAGAAATGATTGGCCGCGTCAAGGCATCCACGGCCTCGGCCGCGGCCTCGGCTTCGTTGAGGTGGAGAACGAGGAAGAAGCAGCGTTGTACTTGCTTGGCTAACGGGTGAGAAGAGGGGTGCAGTAGGATTTTGCGCAGTGAGTTACCCCGGCCACGATCGGACCTCTCTTATCCCGTTCTCTCCTATCCTTCCCTACCCCCTCACCGTCACTGCCGCCGTGAGCCACCAACGAACTCAGGTGGGGGATGATATTGCCGCGGATGCTGGCTCCACGTCGTAGACGAACGAATCTCGCGTCAGTGCGGATCCGAAGCGGACACTCGGGGATCGTTCTATATTATTATTATTATTATTATTATTATTATAATATTTCTCTATTATTACTTAACGCCGAGTTATAAACGGGTTTAACATTAACACTTTTTAGTTTGTTTTTTGTTTAGATTCTCTTTTTTTTTTGCCTTTTTTGTTATTTAAAGTGAAATTTTAATCAACGTATATAAAGTGAGGAAGGAACTAGAAGAAATTGAAATAAGAAGAAAAAGAAGAAAATATTATTTTTGTGATAAAAAAAAAAATCATCATCATCATCATCGAGGAAATAAAGAATAGTTCGAGAGTTTTCAACTCTCAAGCTGAGTTATCAGGTCGATGCCTCGTATCTCGTGCTTGGATAGCGCGGGACCTCGTCTCGTTTCGAGGACGAAGAAAATCCTGATAACAGTAATAGTATTAATAATAGTAATAGTAGTAATAATAATAATATCCTCGAACTCGTCTTATTCGAATATTGCACCATGACGAGTTCATCACTCGATGGATCCACCAACGTGCTCCACCGTGCTCGACCAATTCTTACGACCTTGTTGCTGCCCCTGGCAGCTTTGGATATCTCGTCCTTGAACGGTAAGTTTTTACTTTAAAGTCTTATTCAACAGTAAAGGAAGTTTGTCTTGTCACAAGAACAGTGCGTGGCGCTTTACGCTCTGCGGCCAGAACAGTAGAGACCCAAGGCTCGTGGGTGTGGATCCATGTCCCTTTTCATATTTATTTATTAATAAATCGAAGATCAATAATTTTATATATATATATATATATGTATATATAATTCTTTTTCTTTATTTTATTGTAATTAGAGATTCTATCTCTGACAGGGTTAATAAAGGAGATACTTTTTATTCATTTGATTTCTCAACGATATTTATATATTATCAATCGATTAGAATATCGATAAAGTTATTAGAAATGTTAATTTGTAAGTATGATCGTGTAAAAAAAAGAAAAAGAAAATAACAACAAATTAAAAAACGAATGTCTCGTTTATGATAGAACAAAATGTTTAGGTATTAATTTTCGAGAAACATAACTGTGATGATTTTTTCAAACTTGATCCTTCGTACAAAGAGAATACAAAGCAATTAGCGAGACCTCTATATAAAGCGTAGCAACATTCGATGCTCATTGAAATGACCGATCGATATTCAACGGATATTTAGCGGATATGAATGCTTTAGTTAGATACTCATCGGATATTATAGACGTATCGCCAGCAGCCGTTCACTCGCGGTGTATTCTCTAGACAGGTCGGACTATTGAAACTCTCCTTTGTATATTCTTCTTCATCCCTTTTCCTCAGGTTCCTTTTCCTTCCTTCCTTCCTTCCTTTTACTCGTAATTCGATCGACTCGAGATGAAAGATACTCGACTCCCTTGTTAAGAGGACACCGGATATCTCCGCACGCGCTTTCCGCTGTTGTTGGCGGTCGTCGATTCTGCCTAAAGGAATGTTTCCTCTTTCTCGAAAAGCAGGTCGCATTACACAAAAGCTTTGGAATTTGATGTACCTATAACGATGATCTTAAAATGTCTATTCATGGTCAGTTAGTTCCTTACTTACTTACTTGCTTGCTTATTTATTTTATATTAGAAAAATGTTTTCTTTTGGTACCAATCCCCAGAGAGGGAAAGAGGAAGAAAGGGAGAATAAATTTCTTATAAAGGGAAAATTTATCGTCACGAGCTGAAACATCGAGGAAAAAGACAAGAAACGTGGCGGCGATTCTAGGTTTGCTAGTGGGGGGAAAAAGAGGGGAAAGTAAAAGGGTGGTAGGTAGGTAGGTAGACCGAGAAGAACCTCGTGGAATATCAATTCGTTGTGGTATCGTTTTCGTGCGACCACAGAATGGCTAGCCAGTCCGTTCCTTGCGGGTAAGAGACCTCGAGAAGAAAAATAGTGTCTAAGGTAGAACACGCACGAATAGTCGATCCAACACGAACGGGTGGTAAGACTACTACTATCCTCCCCTAGTGGGGACACATATGTCGCAGGCTACTCGAATACGTGTTGTACGAACATCCATCGCGGAATTCCAACCAACAGCTATCGAGTTTTCCTTCCGTCCCTTTTGGCATCCATCTCTTTTCTCCTCCTCCTCCTTTTTCTTTTTCTTCCCTCGTGTATCCTTATTTCCTTCGACCCCTTCTAACGACTCGAACGTTTTTCTTCTTTCTCCTCCCTCTCCTCCTCCCCGTTATATTCTCTTTTCACTTTCGCCTCCGGCCTGAAAAAGCAAGAGGAACGGTTGGAAGGAAAAGAATTAGAGAGAGAGAGAAAAAAAAAAAGATTCATTTATTAAATCCGTGGGGTCGAGGCTTTGTCGGAGCAATCGAGCCAATTAAACGCGAGCGATCGACCGGAATCGTCTAACGGATAGAAAATCCTGCTACTACGTGAAGGGTTTGTTAAGTTATCCCTGATACTGTTTTCCGATCATTGCACTTTGACCGTAGCATCACGCAACTTTGATGTTATTAGATTCGATAGAAAATTAATAAATAAAGATGGATAGACAGAAGAGAGAGTTAGAGTTAGAGAGAGAAAGAGAGTAAATTAAACTTTGACACAATGCAGATCGAGCGTATATAACTGGAAAATAAGTGACACTATGCCGATGTTCCTTCGAGCTTAATAATGAACCCGTCTACGCGTATCACCAGATTCCAACGCTTTATAGACTTTATAGACTTTAATGGAAGCTTTTATGTCAGCGATCGGACGATACGTATACGTCGAGGAGCTGGCAACGGGAACAAAGTTTTAACCTGGTTTCCGCGTCTAATTCGGTCATTGATCCATGACTTTTGAGTGACAGGATATGGCGGAGCAAGCGCATAAAGAGGGAAAGGAACTTGCTAGAGAGAAAAAGAGGGGGAAACAGAGAGAGAGAGAGAAAGAGGAAAGGGAGAAAACACAGAGAAAGAGAGAGAGAGAGAGAGAATAACCGTAGAGAGTAGGCAAAAGCTCACGGGGTTTGCAAGCATCACGGAAAAGGGGAACACGAAAGCTTTCAGGGCCGTCCATTAATCGTCATTCCGCGTACATGTTGAGACGAGAGGAACAACAATAATAATAACAACAACAACAACAACATCGATGACGACGACGACGAC